TTGTAAAACCCATTTATTTCTAATTGACTAAGTGTTTTGAAAAGAACAGGACTAATTATTTGTGAATAATAATTATAAGAATACCAAACAATGMTTTAGATGAAGGTAAACTTGCTGCACTGGAAAGTGGGATAACTTAACACTGAGAGGAAGGACAATCATCAAAACTGCAGTTTAGTTTTTACATCCCAAGAGGGCACCATTTACTTTAACAACACCACAAAAAATCTCMAAAAAGCCACACAAATCTTTACACTTGACTGAAAAGAATAACACAGAATCACTTTCTTTATAGATGTAAGCTTTAATTAAAACCAGTGACGTTCACTTCAACTGCAACAGTTTAGTTCAACCACTGAAAGTGAACAAATGTTTTTTTCCCCCCAAGGCACCCACACCACTCTCTTACCATTTTTGGATGCATAAATTCTTGCAGATAGGTGTTGGACAGCCTTCTATCCCAGTTGTCAGTAATGTGTCCCCCATACATGATTTCTCCAAAAAGATAGCACAGGTCCTCCCAGGGTACCTGCATGGACTTGAGTAGGATGTGGAGACATTTATCACATTGTAAAACCAAGAAAGAAGAAATACCTGAAACTTTACATGGTCTAAAACATTTAAATCTATTTTTTTCTCCGTTTCTTCTAAATACAAACTGTGTACACTTCATGCAACCCCCCCCCCCCAAATAGTAATAACAGTAGATAAATATAACAAAATTATCTCGCTTAACGCAAACGGATCCAGTGTATGACAGAAAAGTCTTTCCCACAGCAGGAGATTATGATCTGTGAGCGTGAAGGAGGAAGAAAAGAACCTGTGATTCATAACAAATTACAAAAGCTGTGGGTTCACTATCATTTGTACCTGTATTGTTTTGCAAATTGCTTCCTTCATCAGCTCTAATTGCAGTGATCACTTATGTAGCGTTGTGAACTGTCACATTGGCTGCATGTAATTACATTTAGGATAACGCTTCATTGCCCTCCTAATGAATTCTCTGTATACGCACATACAGGTTACTGTTTGGTTAACGTAATGAAGGACATTCGTTTTTTTGGAGGGCAGGATACCTGGGAGATGTAATTGGTTATGACCGGAGTAATGGGAGTTCTAAAAGAAACGCATTAGGAGTTGTGAGAGGTGCATCTCTGAAAGAATGGATTTTTTGTCTTTGTGAAATAAAGCTAAATTATAGGCTGTGCTAATGGTGGTAAGGAATTTGAGGAAGAAAAAAAAGACAATAATGAACATTTTTCATAAGTAACGACGCAACAAAGGATTCTCAAACACTAATTGGAGATGGTGCACAGTAATTCAGCATCCCCGTTTGGCACTCATGTCACTGCAAATATCATTATTAGTTCAAATTTGATTAGCTTAAAAGGTTGTGGTAAAACAAATTAAAAGTTTTGTTTGAATACAAAAGTGAATTTGGGATGTAATCAAAAGAAATACTTTGATGTTGGCCTCCAGGTGGTTGTACAGCACGTTAGCAGAGATGGTGAGGTCTCCTGTGTTGAAGGGGTAGTAGTGGTTCCACCCTTGCGGACCAAATTTGCGGCGCTCTGTTACACAGGCGTGAAAGAAACAGAGAGAAAACAGCATGGAGTTGAACTCTTGTTCCCTGGAGCACATATCCAGAGTGCCCTGATAAATGGGAAGGAAAGGCAAAAATCAGTGAAAGCAAATGAACACAAGAGCATTTTCTGGAAAAAGTTACGGTATTTGCTGCAAACCTGATTGAAGTTGTCGAGGGCAGCGTGCAAACTGGAATTCATGCCAGAGGGTGGCTCATTTGTGATTTTGATGGCATTTTCAAGCAGACCTCGAGGAATTACGTGCTGCTCAGGGCTCAGAATTGGCTCTCCAGTAATGAAAACCCTGTAGCTGGGATGACTCTCCGCTGCCGCCGTTTCCAGAAAAGCATCGAGTGCGGGCAGCCAGCGAGCCACAAGGTGCACATTCTGAAAACAAAACATATCAGGGAGCTTACAGTAGAATTTCAGGTAAAGCAGACATCACTCTCATTGGTTAATTCTGGTACTTACAGCTACGCAGTGGTGGGCACAGTTCCCCTAAAGCACTAAAAGGGGAACTAATTTCCTGATTAGTGCTTTAGGGCTTTTGCTAATTTTATAATTTGTTAGTGGATTAGCACTTGCTAAATTTATAGGCTAAAATCCGAAGCACTAACTGAGGTCTTTAAATGTTACTGATCAACATTAATGTTAACAGTTGAGGGTGAAAGCACATGAACACATTTTGTTCATATGTGTGTCACTTATCCACCACGTGACAATATATTGACAATAAATGAACTCAAATACGGCTGTGGAATGTCAATGATAAAGCTTWAGAGAGAAACATGCATCCAGCTGCTCTTATTTTATCTTTTATTTTATCTATCTTTATAACATAGTGTCAGCTGCACCAGGGACTAAAGGCGGAAATTAGCACCCAGAACTATAACCCGATACAATGCATCTTTCCTTCTAATGATTACTGTATACTGTATATTGTCCCTATTTTAAATAAATAAATCTGTAAAATCTACATACCTGGCAATATGTGACTCATGTTGTCTGTTGAAGAATGTTTCATGTGTTGATTGGATTATTTTAGTGCTTTAGAATTAGTTTTTGCTAATTTTTCAGTGCATTGATGCGTTACAATTAGGGGACCTAAATATTTGATTTAGGGCTAGTGGAACTAATTTTTAGATTAGTGCTGCCCACGACTGCAGCTACGTTTGTGCTTAAATAGAGAAGAGTCATTCAAAAAATGGTTTCTCTGTGCTCTGAAAGAGTAGGCAAACCCTTGCTGATTCACTTATCTGCACACTTCTCCCTAAAGGAGACACTTATGGAGCTGATCTAGCCAATTAGGGCTTTTATTGAACCAAATTGAGTTTATTTCCCTTGCTCGCGGGATGAGATAATATCATTACGGGTGCTGGGAAGCTCAGAGCGCAGCCCAAAGTCAGAGCAACCTACTCAGTGAGTGATAAAAGCCTCTACCTGCAAAATGACCCAGTGTCCCTGCTTAGAGGCAGCCCTGAGAACCCTCTCAGCTACTTCCTCCTGCCCCTGTCCCAGGGACACATTGTGCAAAGTCCCCTGGTCAATGGAAAATCCCAGCTTTAAACCTGCATGCAAATATAACCATTAAACCAACAGGGTTCCTACAGTTGAAGGCAAGTTAAATTTAAGACATTTTAAGACTTTTTAATGCCAAGTGAAATCGAATTTAAGACCAATTTTATAATAAACACAAATGACAAAAAAAAAAAATTAAAACTGTGGCAGAAACTCATGAAAGTATTTTTGGTTGAAGTATTCAAATATTGCTAATAGACCAATTGTTTTTATCCATATCTAACTATAGCAGAAACATTCTTAGAAGTTAGTTTTAAATTTAATTTAATTTCAGGAAATCCTCTAACAGCACAAAATTTGGAGTTTTTGGACCAACAGTGGGGTCTTAACCGCAATTTGTTGTATATGAAACCTTAAAGTGCCTGTGA